GTGTGGAGTCTCCTTCTCTGGAGTTATTCCAGACCCGCCTGGACGTGGTCCTGTGCAGCCTGCTGTGGGTGACCCTGCTTCGGCAGAGGGTTGGGCTGGGTGACCCCCAGAGGTCCCCTCCAACCCCAAACATTCTGTCATTCTGTGATTATCTCGTGTACTCCACGACAGTTCACGAGGAAAATCACAGTAATACAGTTAATTTTCTCCTCTGCGATGACGTCGTTAAACGCCTGGGACTCGACGCCGTGCGTGGGTTAACGGAAGCTGACCCTACCACCCGCGCCGCTCTCCTAACGCCGCGAATCACATTCCTGCCCTTCTCCTCCCACCATCAGCACCACAACCACGCTGCGGCTCTCGGGGACGACAGCCAGCGAGCCGCCACGTCACTACGCTCTCCGAGCTCCCTCGCCGAAGCCCGTGGTTTTTATGTTTTTTTTTTTTTCAAAAAGCAAAATCCAGTATCAAACCAAAAAAAAAAAAACAAACAAAAAACACAACAAAAAAATGGCGCATTGTAAACCAAAACATCGAGCTGCAAGAACATAAAAGTGGTATTTTAAAGGAAACAAAAAAACAATGAGCTTTCTGTTTTCTGAGCATAACAAAGACCAGAACGAAGCAGCAGCAGGGGGCTGCCGGCGGAGCCCGGCAAAGCCAACGGGATTTATCCCAGCGACATCCAAAGCACCAGAAGGAATCACTGGTGAAGCTGGGAGTAGTAACTGGGAATTCCCGGCGTCCAGTCCCGTGTGCAACATGCAGGACGCTGCTTTCCAGTTACACGCACACTGCGGACTGCAGGCTCTCAGTCCCCGTCTCATCACCTCCGGCAGTCACACGTCCGCTGCCTTCCAGAGGACCATGACCCCCAGCCCCGACCGCTGCTCTGAGAGTCGGGGGCTGGAGTTTGCTGAACGCTGCCAGCTCCTGCGAGCAGGCGTTCCTCGCCCTTCCCAAACAGCCCTGACTGAGGGAATATCCGATCCGGAGCGGGCTCTCTGAATGCTCATTGTAACACAAATCAGCGTCAGCACTGGGCCCAGTCTTGTTCAACTTCTTCATCACTGACCGGGATGAAGAGTTAGAGCGTACCCTCAGCCAGTTTGCTGGTGACACAGAACTGGGAGGACTGGTGGATGCACCAGCAGGCTGTGCTGCCATCCAGCGAGACCTGGACAGGCTGG